GAGGGGAGGGGAGGGGAGGGGAGGAGCGAACCATGTGGAAACAATTCTCTTTCCTGACCCCAAGCACCCAACAAAACCAATTCCTTCCTCACTGCCCATCTTAAACACATCCTCCTCCTTAAGGTTTTTCTAGATCCTCTCAGCTAAATGCCCTCTTTCTTCCTTTGAATCTCCATGGTGCTTGTTGCCTCTCTTCTGACACTTAGTTTACTCCACCTTTTATCTGAGTACTTGTCTCAGACTCTCTCCTTTTTCTGTGGAGCCTCGAAGGAGGAATAGTTTGGAAGTGTCTTGAAAAGGCCTTGTTCAGAGCAGGAATCCAGTAATTAGTTGTAGATATGAAGTGAAAATTGTTCAAAATAAGGACAATCTGGTTTTGTTTCAACAACACAATCAACTAAAATGTTCTAGACATTTATTAACATTTTAATATAATATAGATCTATACCATGTCTCAGAATTTGTTTTCGTTTTCATTTTTCTGTATGAAATGTTGACATTGGGGTGGGAGACTCCTAGAGCACCATTTACAATTTCTGGTAACTAGAAGAATTTCTTGTTACAAAAGATATTGTGACTTTTAATACCCCATCAGATGCCATCCAGCTTTTTATTAAATGTTGCAGATCACGCTGGCTCTACATATACAATATTTCTGTATCTGGATAAATTGAAACCCCCTACACTTTTCTTTGGGGGAAAAAACCGTGATAGACAGCAGGCTGCCATCTCTCCAGATGACCCAAGAGGAATCATCAGCTAATGTGGGGACTCCCAAAATGGGAGGAAAAGTTGGGAAAGGTTTGAATGCGCTTGAGCATAATAAAGCCAGCATGTGGGATGGTTAATTTGAAAGAAGTGAGGCATCTTAATAGGAGGACAACACATTCTCTAAGGGTAGTAGATTGAGAGGTCTTCAAAAGACAAGGTACTTCTCACTATGGCCAGTTGGTTTGCCTTAAGCTATTATAGGAGAAAACGTGGCTATAGCATTAATGCGGAGGAAAAAACAACAACAAACAAGAAAGAGCTGAAGTTCCTACCCTTTCCAAAGGACTAAATTCTCTCCTCTCCCTGTGGTGTCAGCAAGAACCTGAGCAGACATCCAGTGGAGAAAGACTCCACCGACACCCAGATAAACCCATTGGTTACACAGGGGAGAACTAGGACGCAACGCCACTATTCCTGGGGGAGCCTCAGGGAGGGGCACTGGCTCTGGGGCTGCAGGAGAGCCCTGGATGGGGGAGTACAGACAGAGGATCCAGGGAGGAAGACAGCCACAGGAACACAGGCAACACCTGCCATGTGGGACCCTTTTCAAAGGCCTACCCATTGGGGCCTCAACCTCTCAGTGTAATACAAAGGGAAAAATCAGCTTCACCAGGGCTTCCCTGGTGGCACAGTGGTTGAGAGTCCACCTGCCGATGCAGGGGACACGGGTTCGTGCCCCGGTCCGGGAAGATCCCACATGCCGCGGAGCGGCTGGGCCCGTGAGCCATGGCCGCTGAGCCTGCACGTCCGGAGCCTGTGCTCCGCAACGGGAGAGGCCACAGCAGTGAGAGGCCCGCGTACCGAAAAAAAAAAAAAAAAAAAAGTCAGCTGCCAGAACACAGCTCCAAAATCCAAGATGCTCTGATGTTTTAAAACCCTAAAATCTAAAGACTGCTTAAACTTCCACTTGTATCCCATGTGTCTCCATCTGGATAAAAAGAGACGAGGTAATGTCGGGCAAGGAGGTAGCCTATTTCACACTCCCTCCCCTCCCCACAACTCCACAATATTCTGATGGCACTGACCCACCCGGTGTGAATTTCTAGGTGAAGAGGTTTGACTCTAAGAAACTATTAGGCTGATCCCTTGTTTTTTTTTTTTTTTTTACCCATAAGAGAGTAGCTAGCGACAGTCCAGTGGATTTAAAGGGGTGGCCCTGCCATAGATTATACCTATAATTGATCCCTAAACTTTATTTCTTTACCTATTCCTCTAAGCACAACAGCCCTTCAACACCACTTTTGAAAAGGTACTAAAGATCCCCAAATATCTTTATTCAATAACTATAAATTTTCTTCCCAACGGATAATGTCTATATGATTCAAGAAAACTCAGGGACTTCCCGGGCGGTCCAGTGGTGAAGACTGTGTGCTTCCACTGCAGGGGTCAAGGGTTCAATCCCTGGTCTGGGAAATAAGATCCCACGTGCTGAACGGCATGGCCAAAAGATGAAAACAAAAACAGAAACAAAACAACGCAGTGCTCTGCTCAAGATATACAACTTTGCCTTGTGTTTATGTTTAGAAAGAGCTAGAAGCTCTTTAATGAAATCACTGTAGAGAAATTTTAAACAAACTGCTGTCTCAGACATCAAATATTCCAGTGATTGTTTAAAGGGTGTGAAACAAAGGACCTATTTCTAGGCAGAAAGGACAAGGAAATAAATCTAGTGAGTTCAATGTAAGTTAATTTATATTAGTTAATTGTGATTAATAATATTGATACATGCTTTTGGGGAATTGTATTTTCACTGCTTGCAATATTTTCTACATCTAAAACACTTGTCTCAAACCTTAACGTCTTTATACACAGTAAAAGTTAAGGGACTACATTTTGGATAAGTAAAAACATGGTCTGGGGGCTTCCTTGGTGGCGCAGTGGTTGAGAGTCCGCCTGCCAATGCAGGGGACACGGGTTCATGCCCGGGTCCGGGAGGATCCCACATGCCGCGGAGCGGCTGGGCCCGTGAGCCATGGCCGCTGAGCCTGCGCGTCCGGAGCCTGTGCTCCGCAACGGGAGAGGCCACAGCAGTGAGAGGCCCGCGTACCACAAAAAAAAAAAAAACATACAAACAAAAAAGAGTGTGTCCCAGATAAGCAATGCAATCATTAAAAAAAAAAAAAAAAAAGTCAGCTGCCAGAACACAGCTCCAAAATCCAAGATGCTCTGATGTTTTAAAACCCTAAAATCTAAAGACTGCTTAAACTTCCACTTGTATCCCATGTGTCTCCATCTGGATAAAAAGAGACGAGGTAATGTCGGGCAAGGAGGTAGCCTATTTCACACTCCCTCCCCTCCCCACAACTCCACAATATTCTGATGGCACTGACCCACCCGGTGTGAATTTCTAGGTGAAGAGGTTTGACTCTAAGAAACTATTAGGCTGATCCCTTGGATTTTTTTTTTTTTTTACCCATAAGAGAGTAGCTAGCGACAGTCCAGTGGATTTAAAGGGGTGGCCCTGCCATAGATTATACCTATAATTGATCCCTAAACTTTATTTCTTTACCTATTCCTCTAAGCACAACAGCCCTTCAACACCACTTTTGAAAAGGTACTAAAGATCCCCAAATATCTTTATTCAATAACTATAAATTTTCTTCCCAACGGATAATGTCTATATGATTCAAGAAAACTCAGGGACTTCCCGGGCGGTCCAGTGGTGAAGACTGTGTGCTTCCACTGCAGGGGTCAAGGGTTCAATCCCTGGTCTGGGAAATAAGATCCCACGTGCTGAACGGCATGGCCAAAAGATGAAAACAAAAACAGAAACAAAACAACGCAGTGCTCTGCTCAAGATATACAACTTTGCCTTGTGTTTATGTTTAGAAAGAGCTAGAAGCTCTTTAATGAAATCACTGTAGAGAAATTTTAAACAAACTGCTGTCTCAGACATCAAATATTCCAGTGATTGTTTAAAGGGTGTGAAACAAAGGACCTATTTCTAGGCAGAAAGGACAAGGAAATAAATCTAGTGAGTTCAATGTAAGTTAATTTATATTAGTTAATTGTGATTAATAATATTGATACATGCTTTTGGGGAATTGTATTTTCACTGCTTGCAATATTTTCTACATCTAAAACACTTGTCTCAAACCTTAACGTCTTTATACACAGTAAAAGTTAAGGGACTACATTTTGGATAAGTAAAAACATGGTCTGGGGGCTTCCTTGGTGGCGCAGTGGTTGAGAGTCCGCCTGCCAATGCAGGGGACACGGGTTCATGCCCGGGTCCGGGAGGATCCCACATGCCGCGGAGCGGCTGGGCCCGTGAGCCATGGCCGCTGAGCCTGCGCGTCCGGAGCCTGTGCTCCGCAACGGGAGAGGCCACAGCAGTGAGAGGCCCGCGTACCACAAAAAAAAAAAACAAAAAAAAACATGATCTGTAGTAAAACAATTTGAAAACAAGAGAACATTTATTTATTTATGTTGAATCAGAAAACACAACAGAGATGACCTGTCATTTATGATTACAAAATACTACATAGTCCAATTTCATCTTATTTGAGACCAAGTCATAACTCTATATTTTTCAGCTGTCTTATCAGCACAGAGGGGCCAATTTAAAAACTTGTACTTGGCTGAAGCATTTTTAGATGCAAGTGATTGGCTTCAGAGTTTCCCTTTAATTAAAATTGAGTCCTTTTTAAAATGAAGAATCATGTTTTTGATCATATTTTCCCTTATCGAAGTGAGGATTTGCAATATTTCTGTACCTATACCTTTTATTTTTTAATATTTATTTATTATTTTATTCATTCATTTATTTATTTTGGCTGCACTGGGTCTTAGTTGTGGCATGTGGGATCTTGAGTTGTGGCACGCGGACTTTTTAGTGCGGCATGCAGGCTTCTTAGCTCCAGCGTGGGGAATCTAGTTCCCCGACCAGGGATCAAACCCAGGGCCCCTGCATTGGGAGCATGGAGTCTTACCCACTGGACCACCAGGGAAGTCCCTGTATCTATACCTTTTAGATCTCTATCTCACACCTGCTTAACCCAAAGAAACTTCTCTGAAAATTCTGAGAATAGTGTCCCCTGAGAGTCCTCAGCATCTATCTCTTACCCATATACACACAGACACCTCCTCTGGTTCTTTCTCTGTGGCTTTCTGGGAGTCCCACGGGAGCCCTTACAAGTTCTGAAGACTTTTTTAGTCTGAGGGTGACATATGCCAGTGAGGTGGAGGGAACTGAAAGCTGAGAATCTAGCATTTCTGAGAGCAGCCTCAGGCAGATTTACTTCAGCTAGGTAGGGCTGACACAAATACCCAGGTGTTTCCAATTTTCCAGAGCATTGCCTATCCGTGAACTGCCTATGAATTTTCACTCTGCAACTATTACCAGCACTATTTATTCAGATTAAATAAAAACTGATGGGATCTTGGCCAGGCATATACTATGGGAGCTTTTCAAGCCCCTTGGGAACGTGAAGCAACCCCTCAGAAGGGAACTCGTCAGTTAGTATTCCCCGGATGGCTATGGGAGTCACTGGTTCCCGCCGACTAACCCTCCTGAGCTGACAGCGCCAGTGAGGGGCGTGATCTGAGGAGACACTGAGAGAATTTCTGGTCCTCTCACTTCTCCCCCACAGACACCCGTGCTTATTAAAAGTTTGGGTCAGGAATTGTTTTCCTCCATACATCTAACCCCAAGTGTGATATTTAAACTTTGTTGGATATGAGATCCTTTTGAGGAGCTTGTAAATTCTATGGACCCTCTCCCTAAGAAAACGCTCACACATTCATACCCACAAATTTCAGGGAATTCACAGCCCCCTGACCTGAAGAAAGTCTATCCATGGACAGATTACAAACTCTTTCTCTGAACTTCTGAGAATCTTTTCTTGGAGAAGTGTTTCTCAAGGATGAGTAATGGACGGACTTCTTTGAAAGAGGGGAAAATGTATCTTAAATATCAGAGAATGGTCTGCAGGACCCAGTTGGGTAGAGTCTCCTGGGGACTGCAGGAGGGCAGAGTCTGTTTTGTTACTGCTGTATCTTTGCACATAGAAGGGTACTTGGTACATAATCGCTAATCAATATATATTTGTTGAATTCACTCAATTAATAAAGAGGTTCCCCAGTGACTCAGGAACTCAGGCATCAGCATTGGGCTTATTTGTGTCACCTGGAGCCACAAGTGGTATTAAAACCAGCACTCCTGGGAGATGCCTAATGTGCCCTTGTTATGATTTAAAGGTGCCAAATGCTTTGGAGTTTGGGAGAACATTTTATGGGTAGTCCCACCGTTGTTTTGAGAGACCTTGGAATATAGTGTTCTGAACAAAGAGACCTGGGTTCTCATCCCGTTTCTGCCATTCACTAGCTATCTGTCACCAGGTGAGCTATGTCATCTGCTCAGTGACAGCGTTCTCCTGTGTGACATAGATATGATTTATGCCTTCCTCACAACATTATTGTCAGAACCCAGATTTGCTAAGTACCAATGCATTTCCGATTCTAAAGTCTCTGTGGAGACGTTGAATACATATGTAAGTCCAGCTTACGTTGAGTACATATGTAAGCTCAGCTTATGAATAGCTGAGCCATGGGTGGAGGTAGGAGGGGTGAGAGCATTCACCAGAGCCAATAGCCCAGAATCAAAAGCAAAGAAGGGCATTTGAACTTGACTGCATGTAGCACTTGTGACAAGTATGGACACCTCCATGCTTCTGTTTGAATCTTACATACACTTCTGATGAATTCAGAGAGGAAAAATGATAACAGCCCATTACTTGCAGGGAAAAATTATAGTTAAAGCCATGAAATTGAATAGAGTCACCTTCTGTTTTTATTTTTGTTTTCACTCAGAATGTCCCTTGTTCGGCTGAGGAAAGTCGTGCACACTGGTGACTAAAGGCATTTCCCTCTCAACACAGCAGTGCAGTGCAGGGAACGGAGGTTTAGCATGTGCCTCTGGACATCCTGGCACAGAGAGAGTGTGCATTCACGCCACCCTCCCCTCCCTTGTTCAAATAATTATTTGTATGCTGCGTATCAGGCAAAGTCTCCCCAACCTATTGTTCACTAGACGAGAAACGATCACTCTGCAGGTCTAGACCTCTCTGCCCAAGAACACTCACATGACAGCAGCCAAGTCACAATCCCCGTCAGCTCTCTGAATGCTACATGTAGTCACTCTTTCCAGAAGCCTTCTGGAAATATGATGTGAAACCTCAGTGCAGCAGCTGGAGGCAATGGGAAGTATGGCTAAAAGAGAAGAAAGCAATGTGAACTCTTACAGTTTACCGAACACTGGCCTGGCTCTTATCTTGAAGACTCTAGAGAAACAGAATGTTAACCCACTGAAGCAAGAGGCAAACACTTACTGGGGTCTTTGTACATGCAGACTCCAGGGCAGGACACGTCTCTATCCTCCAGAACTTACACTGTACTGGGGGCGGGGAGATACAACTAAGCACAAGCAAAGACACAAAACAAGGCAAGAGTTGAGAAACAGCTTTAGATGATGTTACCTGGGTTGCAACCGTACTTGCTTAAAGAGGTGAGGTTGACAAAGTGTCCCGTGAGCTCAGAAGGGAGCAACCACATATGTCCCTGGAGCAGGTTTGAAATGGACTCACCAGGGAAGTTCTTAACTGAATCTTTAAGGACTTGGATGGGTGGAGAAAAATGGAGAAAACTTGTCCAGGCCAAAGGAAGTGCATGGTCAAGTGTTCTGAGATAGGAAAGCCCAGGGCACATTTAGAGAATAGAGAAAAATAGACCACTTGGTCTGAACTGAGTGGCTGGGAAGCTGAGTAATGGGAGGTATGTTCAAAGCATAGACTGAGGTCACACCCCATTGAATGTCAGTCTAAGGAGGTTTATCTTTTATGAAATGGAGTCCATTAAAGATTTGAGAAAGGAGAAGGGTTTTAGGAAAATTTGTCTTGCAGTGATGAGCAAGTGGGGATAAGATAAGGGAGGAGTGACCGGGGCAGGAAGTCAGGTTAGGAGGAGCTTATGTTACCCAGATATAAGGAGAAAAGGGCAACACAAATATGCAAGGAAACCTAATCTCCTACTAAAATGTGTATCTGCAAATTCCTACGTGCCACATGCACACAGTATTCTATGCTCCCCATTCTTCCCAAGTGGGTAATACATTTAAAAAAAAAAAAATTAGAAATTATAGTCAACAGTGGCTGCAGGTGGCAGTCTCATAATAACAGACAGAAGTTAGCCCCTGAATTAGAGGTTAAAAGAAATGAGTAAAACCCCTCAGTGGTGTCAGCTCTAAGCCATAGAGGTCCCTGCTCTTGGGACAAGGAGAGATTATAAGTGAAAGAAGCCAGATTCAAAAAGCCACATATTGTATGATCCCATTTATATGAAATGTTCAGAATAGGCAAATCCATATAGACAGAAAGCAGATTAGTGGTTGCCAGGGGTGGGAGTAGGAGGGAATGGGACATGACTGCTAATAGGTGCAGGGTCTCTTTTTGGGTTGATCGAACAGGCTGAAATTAGACAGTGGTAATGGTTGTACAATTCTGTGAACATACTAAAAGTCACTGAATTGTACCCCTTTTTTTGTTTTTTGTTTTTTTAGCCACATCCCGCAGCTTGAGGGATCTCAGTTCCCTGACCAGGTATTGAACCCGGGGCCACGACAGTGAAAGCCCGGAATCCTAACCACTAGGCCACCAGGGAACTCCCCGAATTATATGATTTTTTTGGAGGGTGGGGGCGTGCTGAGCTTCGAACCTAGGCCCACAGCAGCAAAGCGCCAAGTCCTAACCACTGGACCACCAGGGAACTCCTTATTTCAATTTTTTAAAAAGTACGATGGGAGGAGGACACTGCTTGTCCTCACATTTATTAATGCATTGATTTCCTTAAACTAATTGTTTCTTTCTTTAGCTACGCTGTGCTTCCTATTCTCCAAGTCAAACTGTTTTACTATCCCAAACAAGGTTTTGGGTCTATTCATGTAACCCATTCATTCTTTCACCCATCTTACTATATAAGAATTACTATGTGAATTCTTATAAATGAAATACTATCTATATCTATGTCTACGAGCTCTTTTACAGTGAATCACTATGCTGGACCCTGGGGGTAGAAGGATGAAGAGTTACTACTACACATACTTCTGTTATTAGTTGTAACCCAGGCAACTATAAAATATGAAATGGACTTTCAGAATCCTTGTGGGAATTAAGAATCATAGGCAAACCTATGTGCTTAAGAATTTGAGTTTTTGGAGTGCTGACATCAATTCAAAGCACAGTTTTAAGCCAGAAAAGCACTCAGGACCTCTATGTACTTAATAAACTGAATTATATTTCTCAGATATAAAGGTAGGCTGGGCTCACCTGGAGATCACTTAACCTAAGACAGATTAACTATTGAAAGGCAAGAGGCAGGCCAGCATTTATCATATGTTCACAGATGTGACTGGTGCCCTAGTGAGGCAGCTGGAAATGTAAAAGGCCAAGAAAGATGGAATCCTCTGAAGCGTGCGCAAGGAGTTAAGCATGAAGAATCTTAACAGGGTGGTTTGGACTAGGGCAAAGGTAAGATTCTTTTAGATAACATCGCCCCCTAGAGGTTTTCTAGAGCAGCTTCCTATCAATATTTCCATTTTGAAAGAACCACCAGGAACTTCCTCTGATTTTGATGATAAATATAAAAACATATTTTTATTTTTGCATTTTTATATTTTTGCATCTATGTTCATAAAAAAGATCAGTCCATACTTTTATCCCCTGATATCATCCTTGAATGTTCTGAGTGTTAACGTTATATTAATCTCAACAATGCATTGGGTAGCTTTCTCTGTTTTTCTATTATTTGAAAAAGTTTGTGTAAGACAAGGATTACCTGTCCCTCCAATGTTTGGTAAAACCTCTAAAACCATTTAGGCCTGCTGTCTGTCTGAAGAAAAGATGTTCAATTCTGACTTAACTTCCTTAGTAGTTACATGTTTATTTAGATTTTCTGTAACTTCTCCAGTCAATTTTGATATCTTAGCTTTCTAAGAAATTGTACATTTCATCTACAATTTCTAATGTTTTGTCACTGAAAGAGTTCAGAACACACCACCCCAAAATATGCCACTTTGACATGTTGATTATTTTAAGTTAAAGCCACTTAAAAAACCAACAGATGCAGAAATGGTACTCTGACCTTCCTAAAAGCAAGAGAGAAAACTTCCACGTAAAAGGTACTCTCCCAACACCTGGGGAAGAAAGAAATTTTTAGCAGCAGAGGGTGGTACCACCCCACCTTCTGGGTGAAGTGAGACGGTATCTCCACCCCACAGGAAGCTGAAGCCAAGGAAAATCTGCACAAACGAACCACAAACGAAACTTGTTAAACTAAGCCTTATGTTCCTAGTCATTTTTCCATGGTTAACTGCTTTTAGCCCAAGTTCCTTTGTCTTCTCACCACTCTTTGTCCAACTTAATATATAAGTCGTAATATTACCGAACCCAGGTCCAGCTGCTCGCCGCTCAAAAGGCAATAAAGAGGCCAGGTTGGTGGAAAGGAAAGTTTGCTTTATTTTGAATGCCGGAAACCGGGGTGGGGGCAGGGTATGGAGGGCAGACTCCTGTCCAAAGGCCGACTCCCCCCCCAACCCCCGACAGTCAAGGGGCAAGAGCTTTTATAGACAGAGGGAGGGGGCTACGTGGTGCAGAAGCTCTGACAGTCATCGGTGGTCTGACCAGCGTCATATCGATTGTTTTACGTACAGTTAATCTTCAGTTCCGGGATTGATTTGTTCCCATTTCTTTCGAGGCCAATTCTTGGAACTGTGGCAGCTTATGTACAGCTCACCGGATGTGGCTCAGAATATTGTCTATAGACCTTAAGAAGAAACTAAAAGTCCTTGACTTTGCTTAATGACTAAACTATTATAATTTGGTCTCCTTTGACTGTTTTCCTGTTTCTGCATTTTCTCACTTCTCTGATGAAACTTATACTTTGGCTCAATTTTTTCCAAAGAGAAAAGGCAGGCTGAGGACATGGGGGGTGGGGTGAAGGACCATAGGGTCCTGCTCCATTTCAGTAACTCAGACTGCTTCTTTGGGTCTTCATTTCCTCGTGAAGGTGATTTCGGACGCACGCAGCAGTAAGCAGCAGCTTGTAGCAAGCAGCAGTGAGCAGTAGCTGGAAGCAAGATCTTAGTTCCCTGACCGGAGGTCCTAAATGCTAGACCACAGAAGCCAGTGGCTAGGGCCTAAACCCCCAGTTCTTGCCTGCCTTGTCAGGAAAGAATTCAGGCAAGGAGGCAGAAGGTAAAGAGAAATGTAAAAAGTTTTTTGGAAAAGCAGAGTACATGCGGAAAGACGCACAGGCAAACTCTTGAGAGAGAGAGTCGCACCTTTGGGAAGTTTAAATCCTTTATGAGGGGGCAGTTTTCTGGGTCCTTGTCTCCCTTCTAGCCAATCATCTTGCTTTGTCCCCCTAGGCTAATTTGTCTCAGGACCCTCCCCGTAGGTGCGCACGCACTTCTCAGCTAAGAAGGATCTCAACACAAAGGATTGGTGGGGGGGAGCAAGACTCATCATGGCCTGGCGTTGTTCCCTGACTTTTGACCCCCAAGGAGACTTTCTGTGCATGTTTAGTGTCTCCCTTGCCCCAAGGAGGGGGGGAACGGAGATCCCTTGATCCTTTACTCAAACAAGGTTTTGCCCCTCTTTGTTCTTGCCATAACTGTTATCTTAAGGCATCCACAAGAGACAGAGCTTGGCTATTTACCCTGTCCCTGTTACAGCTTCCATTTTGGAGAGTAAACAGGAGGCTGATTTTAAATGTCTAACCTGGAGCCCATCTAACTCCTGTCTCAGGAAATGCAAATAGGAGGCTAGTTGTAGGGGTCCCGCCTGAAGCCCACTTTTTTCCTGCCCCAAGAAATGTAAACGGAAGGCCAGTTGTAAATGCCTAGCTTGGGGCCCATCTAACTCCTGCCTCAAAGGCACCCATTAAATAAATTTGTATGCTTTTCTCTTGTTAATCTATCTTTTGTTACAGGGGTCATAGTAAAGAACCTAGAAGGGTAGAAGGAAAAAAATTTTTTTCCTTCCCTACATCACAGCACTATCTTACCGTATCTATAGTTGCGTTCTTTTTTAGTATATAGTGTTTGAAGAGGCAGTTCCTGTGCAAAGTAACCGTTTAAAAATCTAGGTCTAAATAATAAAGAAAATATATTTATAAATTTACAAAAATCATTTGCTTAGAAACTAAAAAAATGCATT